GTTCCAGCATTCGTAAAGAATTTCATATGTCTACTGATTTCTGCTCTTAATCTTTAATGTGAAAACATCGGATAAGGGAACAAATAAAAAATATGTATGAATTATAGTATATTATACTTGGGTTAAAGTTGGGCACCAAATCGGCTCTTCAACGTTTTTCGGACTCAAAATCGTAAGATCTCCACGACCCATGCGTTTTCAAAACGTCGGAGCTCTGGTAGTACCGAATCGATTACAATGTAGATAAATCCACTCAAAAGCACTTACATTGATGCTTCTTTCAGTATACATGTATTTTACTGATTTGATTTTAACTCAAAGTACATAAAAATCGCAATTAAAAACTTTGAACGGCTTTTTCGATTGAATTTTTATTTAAATATTCGAAGTAAAAATATGGCTGAGCAGGTCATCCATTATTCTACGACAATATATACATATATACACAGTACTGTATTAAGACCGATATGCGTCGATGAAAGCACCAAAGCTTGTAAACTTTCCTTGACTAAGCAAAAGCGAGACGAGAATCGGCAGGCGAGCGTCATGCCAGTGCGTGCCCAATAAGCACGTGGTAGTCTAGCCTTTAAAATTCTGCCGCTTTTATTGAATATGTTTAAGTGATGGGTCAGACAGAGTTCGTTAGTGGGGATATTGATTATTTTTATGCTATTGAAGAAAAATAATAATATATATTTGTTTAATTCTTATTTTTCAATTTAAAGTGCCCTATTCAAATATTTTTGGGAACCCATTCATACGCAGAATTAACGCGGTTCGGATACAGGGCAACTTTACAAGACTCCCTATTATTTTGTATTGGTTATAGAGGGAAAACAAAGGTTATTTTAATGATGAAATATATAAATGCGTGTGTCCTGTGTGTGGTTTTGTTTTGTCAACAGTAATAATGTAGAAAATTTCTCTCAAACAAATCGACATTTGCCTATTCAAGCTGTCTTAAGAGGACATATATTTTCAGTGAAACGATTGAGATCCATTGATGCAACGAGGATAGTAAGGGAGAACAGGTTCCCAGTAAACCTAAAGTTAGTTAAGTGAAAGTCTGCAGAAATTAATTATCTAATCATAAATCTATTTATCTTTCCATGGCAACCTAGATCTGTTCACTGCTAGTAGGCCTATACAGTTAGGCACGCAATACTGGGCGAAAGTGGTCTCGTGGGGTGATCGCGGCTAAACTGAGGAGAATTTCAAACTTTTCTATCTGGCTACCCGTTCCAGTAAACTTTTAAGAAATCATACGTTTACAGATTTTTGTCCTGAACCGTAATATTTAATGTGAAACCACTGGATAAGAGAAATAATACCCCCAAAAATTTTTAAGTACAGGGGTCAAAGTTTGGCATAGAATCAGATTTTAAGCATTTTTCAGACGCAAAATCGTGAAATCTTCACTACCCATGCGTTTTCAAAACGTCGGTGCTCCGCTCGAACCGAACCGATTAAATGTAGTTAAGTCCATTCAAAGTATTTAAATTGATGGTTCCTCCAATTTATATTTAGAGGGCTAGTTTGAATAATTATGAAAAAGCATAAAAATCGTTAATAAAAGCTTTGGAAGGCTTTTATGAGCGGATTTTATTGTACATTCCAGTTAAAAATATAATACTGTATAACTCACCCATTGTTCTGTATATAAACAGTATTAGGACAAATGCATCGATATAAGCACCGAAGTTTGGAAACTTTCCTTGACTGAGCAAAAGAAAGGCAACATTGGGCAGTCTAACGACATGCCTATAAGCACACGGTAGCCTAGCTTAAACAATGTTATTAACCTAGATATTATGTTAATACAGTGGGACTTGGCCTTGCATCAACAAGATCAAATTCAACAAGAATTCTTTTTTCTTTTCTTTTTTGGTAAGTGTTTTAAGGCGCAACAGCACAAAGTCATATGAGCGCGCGGGAAACATTAAATTACACATTTTCAGATGGTAGGCAATTTTGAATTTTGCCAGGGTGGCGGCTGAAGCCGACTCTTATCGATTTTAGACCACTAAGGAATCTTTAACGAGCACAATTAGCACACGACATCTCCGAGATGTTTCGCCCTTATCCGAGAAGGCAAGGTGTAGATGTTACCTAACGTAAGATTAGAGGTGTGGCTGAAAGACAGCCGTAAGAAGGAGCCAAGGAGAAGCAGTAGAAAGGCTGCAGGAAGAGTCAGATGCCCAGAGGAGGGGGCAAAGGGGGTGAGGGGTTGGGGGCAGAAAGTGAAGACAAAAGCAGACCACAGAACATTGTTAGAGAGCAGGAAAGAGTGTGAACGGAGACAATTTTAGAAGAAAAAAAATTTCCATCACTGTCCGAATTCGAACCCCGACCTGTACAATGAGAGGCCAACACCTCTGTACCACGATAACCCCCCCCCCCCCCCCCCCCCAAACAAGAACTGTGTACTTCAGATCGAACAACGTCGGAAAATTTAAAATTGGGAGAGGGAGGGTCAGTAATTTGCAGACACATTCTTTGTTACTGACACACAAAGTTCCACAAAGTTCCGCCTATTGATGGGACCAATCAACGATGTGTACAAATCTCGTGTTATAAATTAAAATTCAACTGGGTGGCATTAGGCCCTAGGCAAGACTAATAAAATAAGACTGTAGTGCAGTGTCACTGTGTGTAGTCTCTTGTCTCTTAGTTGTACGAGGGGGGGGGGGGGGTAAAGAAGTTTTTGGTCTAGATATGAAGGAATAAAGATAGAGCTTTGAAACTTGGCACACACATTTTCATTTTTCTTCAAAGTCACCATGAAGAGTAACACATTTCTACCACATCTCTTTGACCTTCAAAAGCCCTTGAGGAAAACAAAATGACCAAGAATGGGCCCCTAACCAGTCTTCCACAGCTTCAATGGTGTCCTCGTTGTCATGGAAACGACGTCCTTTCAGTGATTTTTTAAAAGATTAGTAAACAGAAAAAAGTCTGAAGGGGCTAGGTCTGGTGAATATGTTGGGTGTGGCAGGATTTCAAAGCTGCACTGTTCTGTTGTCTGGACTGCTTGTTGTGTTCTGTGCGCAGGGGCGTTGTCATGCAGTTTGAGGACCCCATTACGGAGTTTTCCTCGTCTTTCTCTCACCAGCTCGGACCGCAGTTTTGTCAACAAACCCGAACAGTAGTCCTCTGTGACTGTTTTCCCATTTTCCAGGTAGTCAGTCATGGTGATACCTTCACAATCCCAGAATCACGACAGCATGACCTTTCCACTTGACGGTGTTACTTTTGCCTTCTTTGGTGAGGAAGAAGGTGTTTTCCATTGCATGCAGGACATTTTTTGTTCTGGATCAAAACGATAAATCCATGTTTCATTCATGATCCATAGTCACCATGTTTTTTAAAGAAGTTTGTGTTATTGAACTCAATTTGAAGGAGAGTTTTGCAGGACTCTACCCTCTGCTTCTTTTGCCCATTTGTCAAAAGGCGGGGTACCCACCGCGCAGACACCTTATTCGTGATAAGATGGTCATGGATAATCGTTTCAATTGACCCTACACTGATTCCCGTTTCACGTGAGAACTGTTTAACAGTTATACGTCGGTCTTGTAAAACCAGTTACTTCACTATGGATACATTCTCTTCAGTTACCACAAAGGATGGGAGCTCTTCACTATCTTCATCCATCACCGATATGAATCCAGATTTGAATTTTCTTACCCAGTATGTCAGTCACAGTATTATAACCAGGCTAACGAGGACATTAATTGTCACCATAAATTTGGACCATTTCCTGAAAAATGTCCGAAGGGGATTTTCCTTGCAAGTGTAAAAACTTGATAACTGAGCGATATTCAACAGGCTCCATGGCACAGCTCCAGCAAAGAAAAACCAAAATGTTGTGCATGGTCTCATTGAACATGCTGACTAGTGTCTTATTATTATTATTGTCGGATTTTTCCCGAAAATTTGCTTGGTATGTTCCAAAGAAATTGTCTAAAGGCTGGCGAAATTTTATTACTCTACAATGATTACTTCATACCCAGACCAAAGACTTATTGACCCCACCTCGTAAGGGTGCCCGCCGAGTGGATCAGAGCGTTTCTCGGACGAGATTTCCCGTCCGAGACCGGTTCCAGGTCAGAACGTGAACACGCGCGGAGTGGCTTCGTTCTCTCCAGCTTTTTTCCCCGGTAGGAATTTTAGATTGAAATTTTTAGCTGACGTCATCTAGTTAACAGTGGCTAGTGGGTCAGGGATGGGGCATGCTGGCATGCTAGGCTAGCCTACGTGTAGATCTAGACGATCAGAAGAGCGTCTGAGAGTCTTACTTCTTTTGTTATGGACGCAATAGCTTTGATGTTCCTATTGGAAGAGAAGAAGATTGCAGGCGCTACTGGGTACATAATATTTATTGGAGGGTCTTTCATGGTTTCCTATTATGTCATGGCAGAGAGGGACGTAAAATTGGAAATCCACCACCTTAACTGATTCAGCCAGTAGATAATTTTGACTTCAGACGAAAATAATTTGTGACTGCTTCGTGACCTCACAAAAAGTTCGAAAAAAAAATCTAGTTTGATAAAACTCTATGCGTGTCATATAGAAATATCCAGAGTAAAAAATAATTTTCAATGACATCACAAAAAAAAAGGGTTGGAAAAAATAAAAGAGAAAAGTGATGAGATTAAGAGCCGCTCTGAGTGGCCCTGCATCAGAACCACACAGGAGACTGTCAGCCGCTGTGGGCAGCACTGCACACTGAATTAGTCAACGTGACCTGACGGTTAGAGTGTTCCGGAAGGCGTTAGATCAAAACCAAATCCAAAGAGCAAAGGGAAACAAAGTCTGCAGATTAAAAACAGTCAATCAGAATTTTCTTCCTTGCTCCTTGTTTGAGGTTTTGAAGATGAAATTCAAACGCATTGAAGACTTCAATGAAAACAGAAACATTAACGGATGCCCTTTAAACAGGAAACTTTCGGGAGTATTTTTGCTTTGTGTTGAGCCTCAAATTGGAGAAGGAAGAACTGGTCTCAATTTACAATGGCCAAATCTTCCATAGGTGGATAGATGACAGCGTTGCTTTTTATTACAGTTTCTTATGGCAAACATTCAAAGTCACCCTCTTCCACACAGAAAAAAAACCCAGTCTGCCAAAGTAGGGTAGGACAGATAATTACTGAGAGTGAGAGCAACATCATTAAAAAAACCCACGAATTGGACACAAAGTGAGGATTACAAAAAGCAGCATAGTTGTTTACATGAAATAAAAATTTATTCAAACTCAAAACAAAGAGGCACACACACACATACAAACTCGGATCATCCTTCTCTATTGTACTGCATTTATCCCCCCACCATGCAACAACAACAACAGTAACAAAACATTCATTCACACACACACACACACACACACACACACACACACACACACACACACACACACACACAATACACACACAAAACCAGCTTCTTCCTTCTACCAAAGGTGAAAAACAAATAAAAACATAAACAAATACATAAACATGTGTGAATACATACATAGGCCTACATACACACATTCCATTAGGCAAACCAGACTTGTAAAACATACCTGCACACATGTGCACACACATACAAACATACATTCCATTAACCAAACCATAGACTTACAAAAAAAGGTAAGGGTGGTGGGAGTACTACCACTGCCCATCTGCCCCTTCCCTCCCCCTTTCCCCTCCCCCTGATTCTCTTGGTAAGTAGTAGCAACAATAAATCAACAACAACAAATCCCACACTAACAGTCATCACCCCATCCCTTGCAGTCAACACCCAACATTGTTATAACATCTCCCACACTATACCTTGTCCCCTTTCCTCTGTCCACAGTTAAAACAAGATAAAAACAAATCACGCTGTTCAATCTTCTCAAGTCCCTGCACGTGGATCTAAGCTTTGGATGACCAACAGAGATGGTGGCCAGGGAAATCTTTCTCCTAAAAACCCTTCCACACCAAAAAATAGTCAACCACTTTAGGTCAAGTTGTTTCTTGCCATTGTCAATGTTAAGGCTTTCATCAAAGAGAATCACGTAGAAGGGGCTATTTCATACACATCTTAGGATAGCCGACTTGATCACTACTGCGATCCCAAATGTTCCAAGGTAGCCAAGTTTTGAGCAACTACACTGAAAACTCTCAGCCATCTTCGAGTCTGAAAACATCTCATGACTGAGAGGACTCTGGCCTGGTTTTCAGTAAGCCAAAGGCTGTCCATCTTCTACATTTCAAAGACTATCTTACTGGGTTTTTCCATGTTCATAGAGTTACAGATCTAGAATCTAGATGCTGTCACTTTCACCAACTAAGTCACTCACGACTCACACTGCATTGCGACTGAGTTCATAAAGTTTCTTCTTTTCACAAAGTCAAGAAGATCAAGACATATACGATTTTAAGATTGATCAAGATCTAACTCTTTAGATAATACATAAAGTATTTTAAAGAGCTAAGTAGCCCATGGCACGATTTTTCAAATTAATCATATTTAGAATGCTTTGTATCTTGATCTAGATTTTACTTAAGTTTGAAAAATTCAGTTCTCAAATCAGAAAACAACACATTAACATCAATGAAGGCAGAACACATGGACCTATGAGCCAAGAACAGTTCCATATTTCACAGGATGACTGCCAACCCGCCGACTTCTCAGTTTTCCACGGGCACAAATGAACTGTTATCATTTCAATACATTCACACCTTTATTGCCGACGTTGATCCAACAATTTCCGCCGAAACAAATGTTTTCCGTGGGCCACCCTGCCATTAATGAAGGCCATTGCAAACTAAGGTTCCAACATTTTTTCTTTGATATTACCCTAAAGCAGGTAAAAAAAAAACAATTGGGGATTTACAGCATTTACAGCATACACCTAAAACGTTTTAAAAAATTGATTTATGTTAATCAACACCACAATTTAATGCACCACCACGAAACACGGTCCAAAGGCAGATGAGTAATTTTTGAGACTCATTCAGTGACCCCTTACAGGTCTTGGGGAGAAAAGCTACAATCTTGCACTGAAATGTGGGGGCAGGGTGCTGTTGCTGTCCTAAAAAATCGCAATTTCTAGGCTAGTTACTGTAAACCATTTACTGTGCCGGTAGTGATCTTGTGAATGCATCCAAAGGGTGGTGTTTAATGTAGGGCCAAAATAAAGAAGCTGTTTTAATTACTCAACCAAGATTTTTTACCAAAAAATATTTTTGTTAGGTTGCTGGCACACAGAAGAGTCATGGAAAGTTACTTCTGCATGGGAAAAGTAATAAACATGCTACAATTTTTTAACGGAGATAGAGAAAAGTGAACAAGCTATGACAACCATCATCCTGTCCCTTGCAGTCATCACCCCGACACTATCATCACATATCCTCAGTGCTCCACTTGTACGCTATCTCCTGCACCGCCTTCTTGTTGGCGGCGTGTTCAAAGATTTTCTTCTCGAAACCGTTGGAGCGGTCGACTCCATCCCAGCGATAGCCCGGCTGGAGGTTGTACCTGTTGGGAGGGGGCGGGGCGCTACCGCTGTACTTGGGTAGCTCTGGTGACGAGAAGAGAGGGATAAGAAAATATAGTTGACAGCAACCCATTATTGAGGAGAAAGGTGACTGTCTTAAACAGGTGGACGTCTTTAATAGTTTGTCATTATATGGTCAAAACTCGTTTTGTTTTTGTTTTAGTAGAGGTTTTACGGCGCTCGCAACTGCATAAGGTCATATGAACACCAAGGGGTGGATGTCAACAGAGGAGTCCTTACAGGGAATCAGACTTACTCTGCTCACCTCTTTAGCTTCAATAGCATGAAGTCTGCTTCAACTATCAAGGCACCCCGGAAATAGCGGGTCACAAGAGTGTGAAAAACATAAGAAAAAAATAGAGGAAAATGACGATAGTAAGGATTAGGGAAGAAAAAGCAGCAGTTCCCTGTTGTAGTTCAGGCACAGTTATGAGCATAACATTGTAAGATCAGCCCATTTACAATTCTACTGTGCATTAGAACGCTTTGGGAATGGCCTAAAGACACTTCAGTCAGAGGCACTGCCCTGGGGGGACAAACCCCGTTGTACCACCCCCGGTCATACCGTCAGCCTCGCTTATCACCAGGTTTGGCCAGTGTACAAAAAGGAGCGCCGACATAAATATAGTATTTACTCCTTCCCGTCACCGTTCTGCAATTGTCTGAGCTGTAGGGCTCTTTTTCCACTAACATTAATGCCATACCATTAGCAAACTGACCGCCAGAAGTGCAAAGTGCAAACAGCACACTACACCCGCTGATTGGCTACTTGGTAATCTTTCTCCCACGAGAAAGACATAGAGCTAAAGAGAGAGAAGACTCTCATCTCTGAATACATGTGCATGTACATGCAAATCACTAACAAATAGACATTTTTCAAACACAGGTTGCACAGCCAGAATCATGCGCCTTGACGTTGGGACTCGGGGCTATACAGCAGAAGAACCCAGCTGAACCGCCAGCCCTGCTGTTCCACCAACTTCATGCTTGTTCCAAGGGTGGCGGTATAACAAGGTTTGACTATAGGAAGTGGTTATTCTCACAACGGGTGAGAATAACATATGTCTTGCTATTCTCACCCCCTCCCTTGTTTTACCGGAAATAACACAAGAGGGATCAGGGCTGAGGTTCCCGGGGCTAATGCTCCACAGGATCCTGTTGGCGTCAGAATAGACATACATCTAGATCTAGTCACAATCAGGGTTGTCAAATTGGAGACAAATCCCAGAAATTTGGCTCTTTTGGAACGCGTCTGGCCCGGAGATTTTCATTTGGCTCTCAGGCTCTTTTTTGGATCAAAACTCCAAATGTTGAAGAAGAAAGGGACAGAACAAGCAAGAAAAAAAAAAATAAAAAGAAAGAATTTTAAAAAAAATGAAAGTGAAGAAAAGAGCTTGGATTGCTTAAAATTATTAAACTAGTTAATACGATTTAACGCCCTCGTCCATTTGGTCTGAATAATTTACAACCCTTCAACCGTCGTACAAGAGCACGGTCTCGTGCTCGTGTCTCGTTACATTCGTACACGCTCTCTGTTCCTTGAACCAAAATGTATTGTGTGCAGAGAGGCCAGTCATCGTTAAGTGTGTAAACAACGAAAGGTCCGGCCGGCAGCTGGTCTCACATCCCGCTCAGTGTCGGTAGTGAGATTTTTTTTTTTACTGGAGAGGCGAAAAATGTTTTTACATTATTATTCGTTCCCAACCACATGCGGTAAGCCACCAAGGGCATAGGTGATTTTATTGGCCCGCGAGAGGTCGGGGGGAATCCGCGCCTCATGCCCACACCAGGGTGGGAGCTATTCTCACCAGGGGGGGGGGGGATGAGAATAGTGAGACATGGGTTATTTTCACCCGGGTGAGAAAAGTGAGACATGGGTTATTCTCACCTGTGGTGAGAATAAAGGTGGCCTTGATTATAACATTAAAAGAAGTAAGGGGAAAAGGGGGAAGTGGCTGTTTGTACACCTGATTGTTTTATACAGGTGACTGTTACAGTAGATTTAACCGTTAAGACTATTTTTGGGGGGTTTTTAAAGTAAAGAAAAGAACATAATACGTGGAGCAACAAGACGAGTCACATGCCACACTTTATCTTACTTGAGTCTGGGCTATTTAAGAAAACACAAGTGCAGGAGCCTGGACTTTGGGGGGTTTAAAAAATTCACAAAAATTCACCCTCTCACACTACATACACCAAATGTACATCACAAAAATATCAGATATAGTTCAATAACATGCAAAATAAATGACAAAGAAATCTTTTATGGCTTTTTTGTTATGATCTTTCAAACATGGGCACAATTTGACCATGCATAGACATTTTTTTAGAGGTACTCATCCAAACTGAGGAGGGGTAAATTTACAGAAAAGGGCTTGATTTGGGTGGAATTGAAAACAAAATCAACTATGTACATATCCTTCAAGTTTTCTACAGCAGAAAAAATGTTTATTTCAGAGTGAAATCTAAAAAAAGAGCAGGGTTCAGTCAATGGAATGCCACAGACTGCACAGCTTTGATTGATGTCTCCTTTCCCTTTGAGCGTTTTATCTTGCTAGGCTGACTTGCATGATATCTATTGCCTTATTTAGTTACATTTTGACACCTAAATCTACTCATAGTTCCTGCTCTTGTACTACAGGATCAGGATCTAAAAGTATCCTTCTTTTTTCTGTTCACATCACGGATCCAACTCTAGTACTAGACCTAGGTCTAAGTTTGCCCGTCGGTTCCCCTTCGTGACAGTCAGTACTCATGCTTGGTCCCTTGTTTCACATTCCAAACGTTTATTCAGAGCTATTTCAATGCTAAGTATGAACTCCTAAACTAAATCAGAGTTGCAGCTTTCGATGTCCTCGCCAAAATCGTTGTTATTATCATTAAAAATCTCAACATCTAGCACGTTTGTTTTGACATCGCAACGAGTGCCAACTCCATGACTGCAGTGACAGAAGGAAAACATTGCGAATCGGTTGATGTGAGCTTCCAAAATCATCTGCTATACAAAAACTACTACTCGGAAACAAGATCTGAAACAAAATATCGATCAGCAGAAAGTAAATGATACTAGGTGTGGCGTTTCCCGCAACTTACGCGGTGAATTAGAAGCGCTGTTGTGTTTTAAATACTGATCCCACAAGGGGTGCGGGATCGGACATAGGTGGTCGGCCGGGCTTTCCGCAACAGGGGTGGGCAAAGTGAGGTAATGGTGTGTTAAACATATGTGTCATAACGTGGTGGAATCAGGCGCTCGTCAATTTGAGGCATGTGGGGTTATTGGTATCATTTTAAAGCCTGTTCATTTGTCTTGCTTTCGGTGAAAAAATGCTAATCTATCATGAATAGAAGTCGAGATATTTGTGATTGAAGGTCGTGAGGATCGCCTGGTTTCAGAAATAAAATTAAAGAGAAAATGGGCGCCAAAGTTTGACGACTTCCAAAGCTTGCAAATTTATAGTTTTTGTGCCTTGAATGTTTCAGTAAAAACCACACATAAATGTGTTTCTAAATAGACCTTAAAGATGTTGAGTCAAAAAACAAAAATTAAATAAATATTGCCAAACGGACATAAAAATGCCAGTTTCTTCAATTTCATCAATTTGACGAGCGTCTGATTTCACCATGATGGCTCACATGTGAAACAAGGTGAAAAAATTTGGGGTTGTACTCTGTACCTCGAAACAACTGAGTGTGACAAATGCAATGTTTTTGTCCCCTTGATACACATGTGAATAAAAAAGAGAAAAGTTTTTGTTTCTTTATAATCCTCCGAATATCGTTGACAAACAGTCTGTCGTGTCAAGGAGAAATAAATGATTTCACCATAATATTATGTTGGAAAACTTATGAACAGGCAACCAAGCAAGTAAAGATCATAATCCTATGCATTTTATAGAAAGAAGAAGGTAAATAGGAAGTGCAGCTCTTGTGTAAAGGAGCAAAAATGTTTGGCGGTATAAAAAATGGGACAAAGAAACTGAAAGAACGATTCAAATTCAGGCCCATTAAACCGGTCGTGACATCACAGAACTAAACGTACAGCCAGTCTAATCAGCTGTCTACACTCAGGGGGTTAAAAACCACAGGATTTCGCCTTTCAAGACATCTCACCTTTCTTTTTCTTCTTGCCAGATTTCTCCTCCTCTTTCTTCTTCTTCGTGCGGATGAAGGCCAGCATGGGGTCTTCCTGGCGCTCCTCCTGACGCAACATGGTGTCCAGGTCCGCGTCGTCTTGGTAACGGGCCAGCGGCTTCATCGCTTCCTGCACCTGGTCTGCTAGAGTAGCCGCCCTTGTTTCCTGCTGCTTAAGCCTATAAAAAAAAAAAAAATATTTTTTAATGAAGGTGTTTTTACGCCCCCATGAACATAATTTAGATCATTAAGGGCTGACCACGGCTGAGAGGGATACAACATCCCAGAGGAAAGACCGAGACACTCGATAAAAATTCTCCCCACTTGGGAATCGAACTCAGGTTTCCCACATGCAACAGCAAAGCGCCTAACCACTACACCACAGACACTGGTCTTAGGTCTAAGGGAAGATCGAGATACACACAAAGTTGTACAGAGTGAAAAAGAGAAATAAGAGAAGGCAGTATATATATATATATATATGTGATGAAGATCAGGGGTGTTACTAAATAGTCAAATACAACAAAAAAGATGGAGGAGAGATAGGCATGACTGTATGCTTCCCAGGAAATTGAGATTCTTTCAAAATACTATCAGGTCTGCTGGGGTAATAATATAGATTGAAAAGCCTATAGAGCTTGCTGTTGAGCGGGAATTTGTGCTATAAAAATGCTGTCTTTATATATGATAGATGTTCGATACGACAGAAGAAGCAAACCACATCAGAGCACCCGTCAACCACCCATATACACACAGGTTTAATGCGGGCCCAAATTTGAGCTAGAGAAAATCATTTTCTATTCATTTTCTCTACCAAATTATATTACCATAACTGTAAATTGTATTTGTAAAAGTTTTACGCCTCCATCTCTACACAATTTAGATAATTTATGAGACAACTGTGCCATGACCAATACCACAGGGCGAGGTCTTATATACAGCTATGCCTAACTCGGAAACGCAAAACAGGCACAAAACTCCTATTTCGAGAAAATGGTGAATTTACAGGAAGGAGAGAGAGAGAGAGAGAGAGAGAGAGAGAGAGAGAGAGAGAGAGAGAGAGAGAGAGAGAGAGGGAGGGAGGGAGGGAGGGAGGGGGAGAGAGAGAGAGAGAGAGAGAGAGGGAGGGGGAGAGAGAGAGAGAGAGAGAGAGAGAGAGAGAGAGAGAGTGGGAGAGTGTTTCCCCATCACCCATCCATTCAGGTTTTCCAGATAAGCGTCACTGGGTCTACCCCTGCCACGTTTGCCTTCTATTTTTTCAGTGAGAGCAAGACGATCAAAGTCATTATGTCGAGTCAAGCGTGATTTCATCCATACTGGCCACTTTCAGGCACCACCCTCTCGCCTCCCCCACCATCCCCCCACCATTCCCCCACCTTTTTCTATTCTAAAACACGAGGAGAAAAAAATGCCCACATACCCCCTGCCCCATTGCTGGTACTTCTTCGCCAGCTCCTCTTTCTTCCTCTCCTCTTCTTTACTTGCTGCCTCCTCCTCTTTCAAGTTCCTCCTCCTTCCTGTCTCTTTGTCCCTCATTACCGTCTGAGCGTTTTTTCCCAAAGTTTCATCGTCTATCTGTAAAAAAATATTGAACATGCAATTTACCCATACATCAAAGATCCTAGATTATTTCATCTTGGGGAGATGGTTAAGGTGGCCACGTGCGAGTGCGTGTGTGTGCCTGTGTGTGTGTGTGCCTGTGTGTGTGTGTGTGTGTGTGTGTGTGTGTGTGTGTATGTGTATGTGTGTATGTGGAGCGCACATGGGTGTATGCGCGTGAGAGTGTAAGCGGCGTACAAGAATGTAAGTGTGTATGTGTGTGTGTGTGTGTGTGCGTGCGCGGGAGAGTGCGTGTGTGTATGCATACGTGTGTGCGTGCATGTGCACACATGTGAGTGTGTGTGTGTGCGTGCGCGCGCACGTGTGTATGTGCACGCGTGTGCATATATGTGTGTATGGGTGTGTGTGCGCGTTAATATGTATGGGTGTGCATGTGTAAGTGTGTGTGTGTATCTGTGTGTGTGTGTGTGTATGGGCGAGTGTACCGTGTGTGTGTGTGTGTGTGTGTGTAACGTGTGTGTGTGTTTCTCTCTTCTTAAAAATTTTGCTTTCTGAGCTTAAGACATTTGAACAGCTTGTCGACTACTTCTGCTTCATTAAAAACCTATAAAGACACAAGGAAAAGACTCTTTTCTATATTAAAAAAACCTCTTTCTTTCTTTCTTTTTCTTCTTTTTGTCTTTTGCCCATTTCTGAGAGATAGGCGCCATCTGGCAGTCTGATTAGTAGAAACAGGTGAGTATAATAGAGTCCAATAGTGTATTATGGTCATAATTATTGTAACATATAAATGTTACAGAAAAAGATTCAAAGAATACTTTATTGTTTTTGTAAGTGTTTTACAGCACTTGCAACACAATAAGGTCATATAAGTGCCAAAGATTAAAGGTGTTACAAGAGAGTAACATACACAAAAAAGAAGGAGGGGAGATGAAGACGATAGATGTTTGATAGGATAGAAGGAGAAAACCACACCAGAGCACTCGTCAACCACCCACTCAAGGAATACAGATGTATATCAAGGATCTTGGCACAATGATGATTTGAGACATGATGGTGGTGGTAAGCGATGATGTGGGATGGTGTTTATGTAATGTTAGCGTTAGTCCTATCTTCCTCTGCTCCAATGAGTCACGAGGGACGTGGGCACCCTCTATCTCATTCCCCACTGGAAAAGGAAAAGACACTCAATCAACAACTCACACTATTGAAAGCCTTGTCCTCCTTAGCTCTCAGTCTCAAAGCCTCCTGCCTCATCTCCTGCGCTGAGGAAAGACCCGCCTTTGCTCCTCCCAGGGTCTTGGTCGCTTTCCTGACCCCAGCCCCTCCCTCTGGAGACTGGTCAAATCTCGACTTTTTCCTGGACGGGCGCATGTCCCCAGAACTGCCCTTACCTCCCCTTCTTCTCGGAGGAGACAAGTCGGAATCTGAATTTTTTTTCCCGCGCCTGAAACAATTTGCGAGTTTGGAAAAAAAAAAGGTTATCATCACAAAGTATAGATCTAGGTATAAAAACATTCTCAGCAGAAAATAATGATAACACAACAATATTATATCTTAAAAGCTTATGAAAACGGTAATCACAAGGTATGAAAAATTACTCAGCAGAAAAAAAAATATTATTGTTAAAAGATGGCAATGAGTCCAAATGCATAGAAAAAGCAAAAGTTTTTTCTCTTTTCATTTTGGTAACCCTCCGTTAGGAGCTGCGCTAAATTAAATGATTCAATTCACTCCAACAAATCGTAAACCTACTTTACTTCATCGCAAAAAGCTAAATTTGAAATATGTATAAATGTTAACAATTTCAAAATAGAAAAAGAAGAGGTTAAAGCAATAAGCATATTATCATCATCATCATCCAGTGACAGATCTGAGACAGACATCGGTGATCATGGTTCTCCATTCATTCCTTTGCTCAGATGCTCTTAAAAAAGTTACAAGCATATACCCACCATGCCAAAGTTTTAAAAAAAAAGAGAAGAAAAGATTTAAATATATAAGAGGACACAATTAAGGTACAGGCAAGCAGACATTTATGTAACAACACGCTACAATCCAAAGCTTGTCAATATTAGAGCATAAACAGTTATAGGTTTAATCTTAAACCCGGTTTATTTGCCATGCTTTTGACGAAAAAGTTTTAAAAATTCTCATCCACCTTAAATAGAAGTCGAGATATTTGCAATTAAAGGAAGTGGGAGGGGTAAGAGAGTGAAGACAAATGACACACACTCACCTCGGTGGTGATTGGTCAGAATCAGAGGCACCTTTTCTCTTCCTTGGTGGTGATTGGTCAGAATCTGAGGCACCCTTTCTCTTCCTAGGCGGTGATTGGTCAGAATCGGAGGCCCCTTTCTTCTTCCTAGGTGGCGACTGGTCAGAGTCGGAATCATTTCTTTTATTTCTGGGAGGTGACTGGTCGGAATCAGACCCTCCCTTCTTATTCCTCATTGGTGATTGGTCAGATTCTGAGACGGCTCCGCTTTTCCTCACAGGTGACTGATCGGAATCTGAGTCATGACGTGCCTGTCTACGTTTTGGTAAATGCCTGTCATCTCCACCAGGACCCATTGACCTATTGGACGGCGAGCGACGACGAGAAGAAGAAAAAGAAGCAGATTTAGCCACAGGTGAAGTTTTGGATCGTCTTGAGAATGATGGCGAGTCCGGTGAGCTATCGTGCCGTTTCCTTTGTCTGTCCCCCCCTAAAGACTTTGCAGAGGCAACGTTTTTGTCGGAAGACTTTTGTCTGGCGGGCAATGATGTATCGGAATCAGAGTCGTGCCTGCCACTGTGACTCTCACGTTTGTGCACCGGTGATTTATCAGACTTCCTGTGACCTTTCTCTGATGATTTTGATGTTGAGGGAGAACTTTTCCTCCTCGGCACAGAGGCGTCAGAGCCGCTGCTGTCGTGACGTCGCCGTCTGCCTGACGACGGTAGACTTGCTTTGTTGTTTATCCTGGAATCTCCATTGCCAGTTTGGATGATTCCATAGTTTAGGGCGCCAACCTCATCTATGAGAAAAAAAGAGAACATGTGAAGACAGAAAGAAAAAAAAAAGACCTCAGTGTTAATGAGCGTACAGTAAACTTAGCATCTGCGTTTGTCGTGGCCGCAACCAGCGAATCGCAGCCGCGATTTTTGGTATTTTTTAGTCCATGAATTGTGGCCGCGATTTTTTTATTTTCCTAAAAAGATTTTTTAAAATATAAAAAGCCTTCCGGGAATGACCCCTTCCCCATTATTGTTTATTTTAAAAAGGCACGACAGATATCTCCAAAATCTGTGTTAAACAGACAACGAATATCATGTCTTTTACCATGAGAAATCTAAAATCTGTGCGAGTAGTGATAGTCAAGTTATAAGAGAAAAAAGATGCACATCTGCATTTTTAAACTAAAGACACTCAGCGTCAGCTCTTGTTCTACCATTAAACAAGAGAAAGTTACTCTGCGTTTGTCCATGAATCATGCTGTGTCTGTGGCAGCCTGCATACAACTAAGAAAGATATATTAAGAGATTTTTTTTAAAACACAAAAGTGTGTTAATACATGGGTAGAGATGAACTTCTTGTATGGAATAAAAATAATGACAGCTAACATTCATTCTTAGTTTTTGTGTCAGACATATGCGTGGACACTTATAAAAGTAAAGAAATCAGAACATCGTCAGATTGCAAATGGTTATAGAAACGAAAATAAAAGCTGGAAAAGCTTGGTGCTGATTCAGTGTAATTGGAAAGCTAGAAATTAATTTTTATAATACAATCACGAGAAGCCATCCCTGTTATTCAGTCAACTTATAAATCCTAGATCTAGCGTTTTAAGAAAAATAAGGAATAATTTATGGAGTGTAACTGATCGCCTACAGTTCGTGTATTACATTATTGTAGATGTATTCTGGCACTAAAATCGGTTTGCACTTTTTCATAGAGACACATCAGGGTAATTTTGACAAACTTTAGAGAAAATATGCGAATATTTCCGATTATATTAGACACTTAAAGTTGTATTTGGAGGAATTACTTCATAGCGAATTGTGTGCCAGATGCATAAAGTTGCAAAATTACAGCTTCCTATTATACACGCAGTTACCATTTTTTCTGAGTATCTGCACCAATTCTATGCCAGTCATGTTCCGAAAGTTCGACAGATTTTGTCGTGCTTTTTATTTTATATTGATTTTTTTTTCATTCACAGTTGTACAAATTTTTTTACAATTTAGCACTGCCGACTTCAGCGCGTCTAACGGAATAACCAGACAAGTTACAATGTCCATTGTTTTTTGGGTCTCAAGAGCAGAAATGCGTACTTTGGGTGCATTAAATGATAATTACCATAAATACAAGGATACACCTAAAACTGTACATTGAAAAGTACCAAAAATGAAGTCAGCCCAGACAGAGCGGCGACAGGGAGCTGACCCCCATGACCCCGACGTGATAGCGTTTGGCGGGGAACAACCTGCTACAACTAAAATTCCACGGCCGGTGCGCCGTAAACATTGCTAGGTAAACATTGCTAGGTAAACATTGCTAGGTAAACATTGCTAGGTAAACATTGCTAGGTAAACATTGCTATCATCAGTTTCTAATAATAGGTATAACTTTTGATTACTTCCAAGTTCTACTGATCACCAGTGATGAATTTACTATAGTTTTAGTTTTAGAGTTCTTCAAGAGCAACACATCAATTTACATTTGAGCATAACATGCAAAGAATAGAAGGAGAAGTAATAAGGAGGCTAGATGATTGATAGGAAAGAAGAGCAAACCACACCAAAGCATATGCAAACTACTCACACCTTTACAATAAAGAAATCAAGAAAAATTGTGTAAGCCTTCAACCTTTTCTGCAATATTTCCCTAATTTTTTTCCTCTCTGAGACTTAAAAATAACAATTCAAAATCAATTCAATTGCACAAAATCAACAGCAATAATATAGGCAGCACTTCTGAATTTTGTTCACTTTTACACAATAAACATTGACAAGTTATTGTCAAACGGTGTCCTCTCAAAATATAAGACAATAAAAAAAATTCAACAAGACAGTGAAAAAAAAGTGATTTAAAAATTTGCCCAACAGGTAAAAAAATTGTGGTTTCTTAGATTTCATTATTTTGATGAGTGCCTGAATTAACCATGATGACGCACACATATATCACAATACCATTATCTTCACTATCTGATCCAAAATTCTTCCAGCGAGAGCTCTTCCTGTACGCCTCTAGTTGCTGCACGTGTTTGGGTCGTTCATCAATAATCTCCGCCACAGTCGGCAGATCTTCTTCCTCTTCGGCTTCCTCCTCCTTCTTTTGTTTGAGTTTTACAAGGTCAACATCATCGTCGATTATCCGCAACCTGAACACAGAGAAGTAAACATCTAGTATTGTTTTAGTCTTAGTAAGAGTGTTACGGAACTTGCAACTCAAACAGGTCTTATATCTGCCGAAAAGGAGACGTGTTACAGACAAAGAAAAGAAGGAGCAGAGATGATAAGGATGATAGATGAATAGGAAAGAAGGATAAGACTACACCTCGGCATGGGCCAACCAAAAACATATATTATGTGTCCCAACATGGTGGAATCACTCGTTTTTAAATTTTCAGGTACATATGTAGAGTTAATGGTACCTGAGCGCATTTTAAAGCTTGTTTTTATCTGTCTTTCTTTTGATGAAAAATATACCTCTATCTATCTTGGATTGAAGTTAAGACATTTGTGAATTAAGTAGGTGGGGGGGGGGGGCGCTTTGTGTTTGAGATCACATGGCCGCTAAAATTTGGAGCCTTTGATCCACAGAAATTGTGAGTTTTTAAATGGGATTAAATAAAGTGTTCAGAAAAAATTTGATTTAAAAAGATAGTTTCAAAAAATAACAAATAAAAATAAAAATTGCCCAACCAACAAATAAATGTCGGTTTCTTCGATTTCATTATTTTGACAAGTAACTGATTTCACCGCAATGCCACGCTAATTTCATAATAAAAATAATACCAAAAAAAATAATAATAATAAAATAACTCCTGTAGCATCCACTCACTGGTGGGTCTAGGTCATTCATCAAAACAAAATTTGTTATAAAATCAAAAGGCAAAACTTGGATGACCTGTTTCATGCATGACTGGCCTTCTATTCAACATAGACAATAATCCTTTCAAAATACCTTCCATGATCTGACAAAATACAAGTAAACACTAAAAGACAATCAGATCGAGTTTTTTTAGGTCGCCCTGTATTTCTCCATAATTTTATGTTTTGCAATTAAGTCTGATATTTTCTGGAAAACAATTAATTTGCGATGGTTTTACTTTTAGTGGCCTGTTCTGCAGCAAGAATTTTATGACAGTGTAGCTCTCAAACAGTGTCGAGTCCGAAAGTGAATAGATAAAAAATCTGATCGAACTCAATCAAGTCAGAAAAGAGGTGACCATAAATTATAGATGAGAATAATTTTTTTATTATTCCCACTCCCCCCTGCAGGAACAGGTGGGAATATAAAAATATTTTAGAGGTCAATAATTTTGAAGGTCTACCAAAATAAATGTTATAAAAGATGAGAAGTGACCCGACTCGAGAGGGAATTATAACTCAAAAAATTATTCTCACCCCGGGTGGGAAATATACTATATTTACATATCTAAGCTTATAATATGGCCATGGATTTTTTTGTTTTAGTAGAGGTTTTACGGAGCTCGCAACTGCATAAAAGGTCATATCATGAGCGTCAGAAGATTAGAGGTGTTACAAGAGAGTAACAAACATAAAAAAGAAGGAGGAGAGATAAGGACGATAGACGTTTGATAGGAAAGAAGGAACAAACCACACCAGAGCACCCATCAACCACCTGCAGCCATGGACTTGGACTGGGGGGAAGACATGCGACTAAACATAAAACAACTTGTTAGACGTCAGACCGGGATACCCCTCCGACCACGAGACTACATATATAGCCAACCACATGGCACCAAAGATGGAAGTTATGTAAATATGAAGTTTAATCTACCTTTCGCCGTTGGACGTTCTGATGGCCGAATGGACAGCGTGTCTGCGTTTGAAGTCATACAATTATTTTAGGAGCGTGGGAACGAATCCTGGTACCGGAAAGTTTTTTTTTTGGCAGGCGTTATTTGAAACCCTGCGTTCCGATTCCTCCCATGCTATTTGAAACACCGCACTCTGAATGGCGCCCATGCTATTTGAAATGCCAGTACTAGATCAAGTAGCCATCATTTCTACATAAAATAATATTGTATTCTCGCCTGAATTGTGGAAGCTTTCTCAGTTTCTTGATGAACCTCTGAGGATCTGACTCCTTTTTCATGACATTGTCTTATTCCCATCAATGTTGGGTAGATCTAGATTCTAGATCTAACAATTGTTTCTGACACTGACATTGTCTGCACAAAATTAGTCTTGTTCATCTCTCATAATCATTTGAGTTTGAGTTTGAGCAAGTAAGTCAAAAGATGCTTGGATAACAATAACAAGACTGTGCAACTCAAGTCTTAGAAGCACTATTTCCTGTCCGCAGTGTCGTCATACAATACCTAAAAATAATTATCAGATATATCTCTGCGTGCACTTGATATTTTGCCATCACACATGACGTCGCCTGATCTAGGCTTCGACGTTTAAATTAGCAGGGGGTAGTGTCTACATTCTCTAACGTTAGGCCTAGAGAACGTATAAAGCTGTCTACATTCTCTAATGTTCAGTGCTTCCAAGCATGGCATCGAATCCCGGTCCTGGAAGGGTCTTTTTCCTTCTCCTGAGCCAAAAATTATTTCTTTTAAATAATTACACTCACAGACCAAGGAAAGCCACTATTTAACTTTAACCAGGTCTAAATTGGTACAAAAAAGTATAGACCTACTTTGTAGGTAAAAGCTCCTCTCTTGTGGACAAAACCAGAATGTGAATGCTTCATCACTACATAAAAAACTGAAAAGCAACAAGTTATAATTATGGGAAAAATTGTTGGTCAGTCGGGAAGAGTCGAAGAAGGAACATATTTTTTTAATCTTCCAGGATCGGGATTCGTACCCACACTCATAAAATAATGGTTTGACTTCAGACGCAGACGCGCTGTCCATTCAGCCATCAGAACTTCCAAAAACGAAGTGTAGATTTTAAGTCTTTATAACTTAACACACGCCGTTTTAAATAGCACTGGCGCTAATATATAATCACAACACAGCGTTTTATTTAGCACTGGCCCTAATCGCAGCGCAGCGTTGCAAATAGGCACTTTTTTTTTTTCCTCTTCTCCTCCTCCCGACAGACCAACAGTTTTCCCCATAAATTATAATTTGTTGCTTTGTAGTTTTTGATGTAGTGATGAAGCATGCAGGAAGGGGGGAGGGGGTTAAATCCCCCGGCATCTTTACGGCAGTTTTTGAGCGCCTTATTGGCTTTGCGCTTACCATGTTTAAATTTCAAGCATCAGCGTTCTCACTGTTCTACTGAGCATCAACGATCAAAGCGATCTTCCATCATGTCCAAGTACCGGAATTAGAAAATTATGTTATCATTAACATCATCGAAGTGACTATTCAGACTCGAGTCCGAATATGAAAAAATGTTATTCGGACTCTGATTCTTGTCCAGCATGACATCACTTCTGACTTCCTGTGACTCATGACTCGGGCTTCCTGTCCTGCCTCACTCGTGACTCGCCTCAGGCTGGGTAGAGACTGGGATCACTTCGGGCAAAATGGCGTTTTGTGCAGGAGCCGAGTTGTTATCTTATGATGAATTTGAGGCCGGCCTGAAAAGTTATAGCGCTTCTAATAAATGTTTATTTGTCAAAAGGTCATCAGAAGCAATTAAAGATGGTTCGTTAGCGTGTGTCGGGGTCGGGTGGGCGGCCTGCACACGTGTGGCTGTGCATGCGTGTCGGGGGGGCACTGCGGTCCGGGTGTTGAATGTCGCATACGCGTCAGTCTTTTTTCCCCCGGCAACTGATCATTATTACCATAATAAGCTAGTCTTGACGTAGATCTACGTAATGAATTGTGCGCTGGTCTATGGAATCAAAAGTTGCAGTGTGCTCGGCTCTACACAGCAACACAACTTTTTCTTGGTAAACAATCCAGATGACACAGGCTTGTGTATTTGAACGAATCTGTCTTTTTTCACACCGCTCATAATATGCAGGCATTTCAGGCACTACTTGTGACTTCTCTTTATACATTACTTGCTCAGTGCATATAATTATCAACACAAAACCTCGTGTTTGCTATAACAAACACTCGGATTCAACGAGATTCTAGGTCAGGCCCAACGACCTCATTGAATCAGAGTTCTACTGTATAGAGTAGAGTAGATATTTATCTACAGGCAAATCACTGTCGTCGTAAAGAGACATGGTGGCTTTAAGACGAGGAATCTCCTCGATCGAAAGAAAACTGGACGATAGATTGAATAAAAGCCCGGTTACACGTAACGATAAAATGTACAAAAACTGGACGATCTAGCGATCATACGATAGAATCTAGATCGTTAGGTGTAAGTGTAACCACAAAATTGTAAAAAAATTTGGACGATTGAACGATGGTTGGGAGACTCTGTCGAGAAATAAAGCGTGGCTTGATATTTTGCATGCGATCACGTTCAGATTTGAGGGAGACGCGCTGTGATGAAGATTCATTTTGAAATTTGCCGCAGCGCAGAATTAAACTGAGGACTCCAAATTTTTTAAAAAATTACCGTACATCAAAACTGATTTCATATTCGGAATCAGCTTGGCCCTGGACCCCCAACCAGGGCGAATATTAATAATAATTGGCAGGGATCTGGTGGCCGCAAGAGGGCCCCTGAAGCTGAAGAAAATTTGCAATTGAGGAGCTGAAATTTGGCCTCTGGGCTAAAATAAAATAAAAAATGATTCCACTTACAGACCAAGGAAAATCCCTATTGAACTTTAACCAGGCCTAAACTGGTATATAAGGAAAAGTAGGCCTATTCTGTTGTTACTATACTTTGTTGGTAAAAGCTCCTCTTGGGGAAAAAACCAGAATGTGCATGATTCATCACTACATAAAAAATAAAGCAACAAATTATAATACAAAAATAAAGCAACAAATTATAATACAATTGTTGGTCATTAGGGAGGAGGAGAAGAAGAGAAGGGAAAAAAAAAACTAAAAGAAAACAAAAAAACTTCCGGGACCAGGGTTCGTTCCCACACTCATAAAAATAATTGTATGACTTCAGACGCAAACACGCTGCCCATGCGGCTCTCAGAACTTCCGACAACCAGAGGTAGATTTTAAAGCTACATATTTGCCACAGTTTTAGGAAAAGCAACTCGGCATAGATCAAGATGTAGAGATCTAGTTTTTCTAGGCCTCTTTAAACATTAGCCGACCACCACTAGATCCAGGTCTACTCCGGTAGAAAAGGAGGGGGGGAGGGGGTAGATAGGGGGTGCCTGCTAAAGTCACAAAAATAATAGACAGATCTAGATATCTATCTAGATGGAAAGCTAGGCAAAAGATCTAGCTAGATCTCGTTTGCAACAGTTTTTAGTGCCAGGTGGTCTGCTAATCTTCAATTTTACCTTTTTCTACAACAAAGAAAGCACAGGAAAAATATTGATTGATTTTCGTTCCGGTTACCGTGTACTAGATACTGAGACTATGTGCCCGGTCACCGTGTATGTAGACACATGCATCATGTATGAACAATATTCACGTGCGCGCGGGCGCACACACACAAACACATACACACACACAAGTACACCTTACACACGCACACACATGATGCACACCACACACATGCACGCACCTACTTTCTGATCACACGCGCACGCTTACACTTACACACGTTAGATCTCTGTGTCTCAGTTTGTGTTGTACATGATGTATTCCGGCCTGAATTCCCGGTTAGATCGCTATAGCTTTTAGAGTACGCCCAGTAGACTAGAGCTGGGCTGAAACCACGATTTACATAGTATAGGCCTATCGGCTCTGTACTCGCACCATTTCGAATTAAAAATTCTGTTAAAATTAAAGTGTTGATGTTATTTTGCCTAAAATTGCAAGGCAAAAAATTGTGGGTTTATTGCGGAACTCGACGAAAAACCAGGGTTGGTGATTTTTTTTTTTTTTTAAATAAAAATCATAAAAATCAATTTTTTAAATTTAAATCGGATTTTTAAAAATAACTTTGATTTTTTTAAAATGTCGACACAGTTTGGGACTTTTGGTGGCTAAAAGTATGTTCTTTTAGTGCAAAATGCATTGTCTTTATTTTAACTAATAATTAATTTTTAAAGCAACTGCAATTTTAGAAAGCCTTAATCTGCTATTATATAAGTGAATTATGGCTACAGACAAAAAATGAAGAAAATTTCAGTCTAAAAGGAAGGGGTGAGAATAGAGGTGGCCTTCTAGAAAGGGAGTGTATACAGACCCGGTAACCGGGAACAAAGTCACAAAGTATACAGACCCGGTAGGCGAAATCTTTTGTGATTTCGGAAAGTTTAAGTGCCCTCTTGACTCAAGGTAGACCTAGGTTCTTCTTCTTCTACCTATGGCCTTGGTCTCGATCTAGACAGACAGACATAAATCATTGATCTAGTTTCGAGGTTAGCCTAGATCTAGATCTAAATGAAGATTGCGAATGTCTTTTCGATGAACGATCGTTTTTCCTCCGTTTTTGGAGTTGGAGGAATCACAATTTGAAGAAAAGAACAATGTCATGATTTCAATTTCAATCGAGCAGTCACGCTTCTGTCTCTCTCTCTCTCCTCTGTCTCTGTGTATCGCTCGCATTCTCTTTTCCTTTGTCTCTGTCTTTCTTTCTCCCCACCTATTTCCCACTTTATCTTTTCTCTCGTTCCCTCCTGTAAACTGGGGACTGGGGCTGGGGGCATGTCATTGGCATTTTGCTAGCATCTCTCTCTCTGTCTCTCTCTCTCACACACACACACACACACTACCGGGTGTGGGCGCTGAAACTTTCCGACATAACAAAAGAGTTCCCCAACCGGGTCTGTATACTAGTATACTTTGTGATTTTGTTCCCGGTTGGCCACCGGGTCTGTGTGTATACACTTCATTCTAGACATTGGTATTTCCACGGCCTTCTAAAAATCTAATAAGGCTAAGGCCTAAGGCTCTGGGTTTCTCAGGATGTGATGACATCACATCACTAAAATTTGCAGCCAATCAGGCAGGTACGTCGTTCTACGTTTAGCCGCAATACATGTAGAAATCTACACATCACAAGAAGTTCAACAAGTAGATCTAGATCTAGATCTAGATTTCTAGATTCTAGTACAAGTAATCAAAATGTCTCTCTTCCTTCATGTCAATTCAAATTCGAAATATCAAAACCAGAGATCTAAGAATACATCAGAATTCTAATAAATGTTAGATCTACAATTGAACCCTAAAGACCTTACTTGTTGTCTTTGGATGGCTTTATTTTCTTCCTTTTCTTTTTCTTATCTTCTTTTGGGACTTCATCTTTCGACATATAACGTTTGAGATACTCGGCTTTACTGAGCGCAGCCATGTTGATCAACAGCTTACTTTAATTAATCTTGAGCGCAGAAGAGTTTTTCCCTTGCTGTCGCTGTCTTCGGCTTTCGATTATTGATTGGTTTGGGGATTCTATTTATTTTTTATATTTTTTATATTAATTATTTAATTTATTAATTTATTTAATTTTTTTGTTAGTGTTTAACGGGGCTCGCAAGTACAAAAGTCATGTGAAGGCGCAGGACACGTTTAACATCTTCAGTTGGTAGGAAATTTAGAATTTTGCTCCGCAGGCGGCCGAAGCCTCATCATCATCATCATCCGGTGCCTTGCCGACTGGCGTGGGCGATCATGGACCTCCACTTCCATCTGTCTTTCGATGCAGCAATGGTGTTTGTTGTTCTTGCTGCTCCCAGCCATGTTGTCATCTTAACAACAATATTCTCTAATGCTTCTTTCCGCATTGTGTGTTGAAGAAATTTGCCTATCGTTTTCTTATATTCGTGATAAGTTGTTTTCTATAATTTGCTTCAACCAGGACTTTTTCATTTGGTTTTCTAGCTGTCCATGGGATACGTAGCATGCGTCTTATGAACCACAACTCTGTCGCTACAATGGTTCTTTCCAGCTGTTTATTGATTGTCCACGCTTCGCACCCGTATAATAGGTTGGGCTCGATGTAACTTTTCAGTACTCTTTTCCTCGTTTCCAGTGACAGATTAATGTTTGTTAGTATCTGTTTCATCTTGTGGAAGGTCGTTTTTGCTTGGCA